ACAAAAATTCTGTTATGGATAGGCGTGTTGCTTACCACCAGATTACCCCGTCACTTAGTATTATAAAAAAATAAAAATAATAATTCTTTATTGTACTCCAAAATTGATATAATAATTAAAATAAAAAAAAAGAAATAACCGGTGGTACAATGGGCGGTCTTATCGCTTTAAGTGATTTCTGCCAGACAAGCTTTGGATTGAAATAATTATAACTCAGGAAAAAGAATGGTGTGTGACAATTTAGTAATCAATAGATACAAAATCAATAAATAATTACTTATATGTACATATAATAAATAATAAAACCAATTCACATATATGAATATAATGAACTTTTAAGTTTTTGGTGTACTATCTGATATTTTGTAGATCTGTATCCGTATTCGTATCTGTATCTGTATACACTATCACTAATTCTAATTTCGTTTTTCCGATATTCATTACTTGATGTACAAATTTATACCAAAATTGTCATCACAATCACTATTTTGGTATAAATTTGCAACACAGAAATGTCTTACAGCAGAAGTATCGTTTGTCCGAAAACCTATTATTACAATATTATTATTGCACAATCGTATTCTTTGGGCAGAAGTTTGTTTGGTCTAATCATGTTTCCAGAAACATGAGTTTCTAGCTTGTGATAGGTAACCCCGATAGTAAGGTAGTAAGTTCAAACGTGTGACGCATGTTTTTAACTTTTATTTTTTTACCACACAGATTTACCACCATTTAGAGCGATCTATTTAAATGTTTTAATTTTTGTACGAATGTAAAATCTGGTGGATTATTAAAAGTTATGGAACAAAAGTTGCTGTTTACGATGTTAGTAATATTAGTTCTGTGTAGTTGTTAGTATCTGACAAATAACCCTGTATGTGACAACTTTATGTCGCTTTCGAGTGACACGTCTAAACTTTTAGACTCACCAACCACTCTCTAACGACATCGAGTATATAACCAGAAATAGAGACGAAATGTCATTTAATTTGTTTGAAAACTATTCTGCCAAATCATTACTGTGACAACTGCGCTCCGATTGGCCAGCCCGAATTCGAAACAATTGACGGGTGTCGTCAATCGATTTCAAGTGAAACAATTGACGACACCCGTCAATTGTTTCACTTGAAATCGACCCGTTTAACATGAGCTTTGCTATAATAATGGACAAAAATTGCTAAATTACATATTTGATGATACCGATGAAATGTGATTCTGTTTGTTTTGTAATTAGATGTTTTGCTGTTTTTTCCACACCACCGAATATAACAGCCCCCATTGTTAGAGATATTATCTTTATTACAATGAATACAGAATATTTTTGGAATATACGGAGACGTACATATAGGTCAGTTGTTGGCGCTTTACTCTTTCACTTTTCTAATTTGTGATTTCAGCGCAAACAAGAGTTGATATTTAAAAGTGGTATAAGCCCAATTTGCCTGATGAGATGATGGATGGCCCTTATTTCTGGTTATATACTCGGTATCTAAAGAATAACCAAACATTTTCAAAGATGTTTTGCAACGATTTTGTGTCTCACTTACTATATTAATTTAAAATAGTAACGGTACATCAGCTGGAAAATATATGCATATTACAGAAGTCTTAAGTTGTTTTATAAATATGCGCAACAAAAATATATTTCGTATAAAACTTAATGTGAAACACGCTATAAATATTACACAAGAAAATATATAAAAATTAAAGTTGTCATATCTTCTTAAGAACTATATTATCAGTAAATTATCACTTGTGATACATATAATACATTTGTTGCTATCACTTATCATTAGTACTATAAATAATTGATTTGTTACTGCTTTACTTACGACTGTTATTTCGTTTCGAATATTAGCTCGTGTATGTAGTATAATTATGACTACATTACGAAGTTGTATTTTTTTTCTTTACGGATCTCTGTTCGTGTTACTTCGGTTTCAACCGTAAGTTTCTTATTTATAATATTTTTTCTACTCCTCTACTTTAATTTGTTATTTATAATTTCACAAACCATTTTACAAAGGCGCTCTTTTTAGTTCTGAACCAACATTCTATTTTGTCTATGGTACTTGCTATTGAATTGAAAAATATGATAATAGTTCTTTAAAGAGAACTATAACAATGAGTTTCAAAAAAGAACATCGTGTTTTTTTTATTTTAATTAAAATATCGAGTATGACGCACTCAAACGCTCTGCCTCCTGATTGGTTACTTCACTAATTTCGCTTACCTTATATTGATTTAAACTATCACGATTTTTTAATTTAATATCCCTTCGTGACCATGGACGTTGCAACACGTCCGAAACGTCGAGGTAAATAAAATATTTACGATTAAGAAGTAAGAAGAGGTACACGATTAAGTTCCGATATTAAATTTAAATAATCACTTTAATTTTTGCAGTTGTATAAAGTTTATAGAAGTAAAATTTTATATGAAATGTAATTATTATATGAGACGATGCTATAAAATTTCAGGGCCGTATTCCAGAACTCTACTCAATGCTCAAGTCAGGATCTGAGTATGATTTCAAGCACTGGAAATACGACTCTAATGGCAGGGACTCGAGTATGATTTCGAGTGCTTTAAACCATACTCAAATCCTGACCTGAGCATCGAGTAGAGTTCTAGAATACGACCCTCAGGGTCAATGGATTATTTCTTTATAACTGTCTTCAATGCTCAAGTCAGGATTGCACTGGCAACACAAGCACTGGAAATACGACTCTAATGGCAGGGACTTGAGTATGATTTCGAGTGCTTTAAACCATACTCAAATCCTGACCTGAGCATCGAGTTGAGTTCTAGAATACGACCCTCAGTCACTTTCCGTTAAACGATTTCAATAAAACTGGCAAATAGATGTAATTCCACAAACTTTTGAGGTCTTTTTTTTTGAAAAAAGTTATAATTATTCTTTCCACATACTACTCTGGTCGATGTCTTTTCAAAATGAACACAATTTGTCAATTGTGTTCATTTTGAAAACACTGCAACACGCAGAATAAATTCAAAGTGGTTGACACTGTGTAAAGGGTAGTCGTGTTTACACACATATGGATAGCTCCCGGTGTCACTAGGGCGACCTTGTGCTGTGTGAAATACATTAGCGAGACAATTGAGCGACTGTCAATGGCTGCGCTTTTGTTCATAGTTTTATTCTGGACTTTGTATTTTTGATTTTCCATCGCTGACATAAAAACTGATCGAATAAATAAACTAATAACATTAACATATTTTTATATAGTTATTTATGATAAGGAGGGCAGCATGCGTCCTATGGTGGACGCCAAAATCAATCATAGGCAAATTTTATTGCTATGAATTGTTTCCGGCAGACACGCATTCAATTTTATAATACATCATACTTTTCCTTAGCCGCTCAATACAGTGTGCGCAGTTATTACCACTAATTCCTCATTTATGTCTATGAAGAAACGTCACCGACAAATTACTGGAATAGTCTACCTAATCTTGTATAACTGTAAATTGGGAAAACCAATAATTTGTTTTTATTTATTCTTAAAATGTCGATTACGTTCGTTGCGATAAGGAGTGCAATATATGCTACCTATTTAATGTGAATTGCGATTAGTTGCTTTGCAGCGGAATAGTGAATTTACCTTCAATATAAATCTTCATAGTCTTTAAGTTTTTATTGAATGTCAGGGTGTATCACCACTAAGGTATTAAATTATTTTTTGTGAAATTACTCCACTAGTTTGTTATATTTATTAATTTCATAAAAATTATTATTATCATAATTATTAAAGGAGTAATTTCACAAAAAGTAATTAAATATGGTGGTGAAACATCCAGACGTTCAATAAAAACTTAATTACAATTAAAAGCGACATCTCTAGCCAG